CGCTCCCGTCCTCCATCACAAGAGTGATAGTCCATGTCGGAACAAATGACACAGCTCTTCGGCAGTCTGAGCTGACAAAATTAGATTTTAACCGTCTTCTTAACTTTTTAAAGCAGTGTGGAAAGTCCGTTTTTATCTCTGGTCCCATTCCCACAGTCGGTCGCGGTGCTGGCCGCTTCAGTAGACTCCTTGGCCTCCACGACTGGCTCCAGTCCGCCTGCAGGGCTCACCGTGTGTTTTATGTGGATAATTTTAATATTTTCTGGAAAAGAATGTCTCTTTTTAAGACAGACGGACTTCACCCAAACAAACGGGCTCAGAAATGTTAGCTGCGCACATACAGCATGTGGTGCGGTCCACACATGACTTACGTGAATGACTAATCATTCATGCAGCACACCTGGACACACCACCGCTCACTGAACAGATCTCTGCCTCACTGCCACAAACAACTGTCTCCACCTGCTGGCATGTAAAGCCGTCTGCTCCCAGCGCTGTTCCACAGACTTCTATTCCTGTCATCATCACGCATAGACCAGTAAACGAAATGTGCACATCCCACACAGAAATATTAGTAATCTCTTAAGGATTAGGACAACTGCACCAACTCCAGCACCCAGAACAAACTCATTTAAAATGGCTCTCTTCAATGTGAGATCACTTTCAAGTAAGACTTTTATCTTAAATGATTTTATCTTGTCTGCAAATCTAGATTTTATGTTTTTAACTGAATCCTGGTTGCAGATGAATGACTATAGCCAGCTAGCTGAACTGTGTCCGCCTCAATATGATTGCTTTAGTCAACCGAGGGTCAGTGGTCGTGGTGGTGGGCTAGTGAGCGTGTATAGGAAAAATTTAAAATGTCATCAAGTACGCTGTGATGAATTTAGCTCCTTTGAAGTTCTCACTCTTAAAGTTGGAGGGCTGCATCATATTTGTTATAATTTATCGCCCCCAAAACCGCCTGGAGGATTTTTATCAGAACTTCCTGAATTTTTATCTACTCTGGTTTTAAATTATGTCAGAATTGTTCTTTGTGGCGATTTTAATATTCATGTTGATGACCCCAACAATGTTAATGCAACTGACTTTTTAAATATGGCCACTTCTTTTAACTTCAAACAACATGTCAAAGGGCAAACACATAACCGTGGTCATACACTGGACTTGGTTTTTACCCTGGGTGTCAGCATTTCCTCTGTGGAATTAGTGGACATGACCATATCTGACCACAGATGTATTGTTTTTAGCTGCGATTCTCCTGTTACTCATGCCGCCTCACCGAGCTCCGTGTGTTCTCGCATCTTTAATGAACAGTGTTTCAAAGTTTTGCGCATTCTTTCAGAGCCAAAGCCAACACCTGTCTGATTCCAACACCAACAATCTGGTCGATCACTTCAATCATATCTGCTTGTCGTCACTAAATATTACTGCTCCTCTAAAGGTTAGGCCTACGTCTAAAGCTAGTAAGCAACCCTGGATAAATGACAGCATTCGCAGCCTAAAAAGGGAATGCAGGAAAGCAGAGCGCAGATGGAAAAAATCCAGTCTCCAAGTCCATTACCTCAGTCTGAAGGATTTATTAATTAAATACAATAACATGGTTAAGGATGCGAGAACACACTATTTTTCTGAACTCATTACTACACATAAACACAATCCCAGGTTTCTGTTTAAGACTGTGGATCAGCTGGTAAACCCAACCCCTCCTTGTGCCTCAGCTGGAAGTAATGATGACTGTGAATTGTTTTTATCTTATTTTACCAATAAGGTGGTGTCAATGAGCCTCTATTACCCCCGTGGCCTCTTACTCAGAGGTTCCTCACCAGCAACAACAGAGTTTTAACCAGTTTTATCCCATCGACTTGTCTGAGCTTTTAAAAACAGTATCACAAATGAGAGTGTCCTCCAGCCCACTTGATATAATACCTACACAGTTTTTACTAAAAGTAATAGATTCTGTTGGGCCCCATTTGATCTCTGTTTTCAACAGCTCCCTATCTACTGGTTGTGTCCCTGATTATTTTAAAACAGCTTGCGTGAACCCACTTTTAAAGAAACCTGGTTTAGATCCCTCCCTCCCACATAATTTTAGACCAATTTCAAAACTGCCTTTTACTGCAAAGATTCTAGAAAGAATTTTGTCCAAACAGCTGCTCACTGTACTGGAAAATAACAAATTATTTGAAAAGTTTCAGTCAGGTTTCAGGAAGTACCACAGCACTGAGACTGACCTGCTTAAAGTCACCAATGACCTTTTAATGTCTGCTGATGAAGGCATGTGCTCAGTCCTGGTACTCCTGGACCTTAGCGCTGCTTTTGACACCATTGATCACAACATCATGTTAGACAGACTGAGGCACTGGGTGGGGATCTCTGGTACTGCTCTAGAATGGTTTTCATCCTACCTGTCAAATAGGAAGTTTTGCATGTCTGTAAACAACTATGTCTCTTCATTCTGTCCAGTTAAATATGGTGTGCCTCAGGGGTCGGTCTTAGGACCCATTTTGTTTTCCTTGTATCTGCTTCCCCTTGGACATATTATCCATAAACATGGCATTTCTTTTCATATTTATGCTGATGACACACAAATATACTTGCCCGTCAGATCCACAGACCCTGGAATGCTGAGTTCACTTAACAACTGCCTTTGTGAAGTTAAAAAATGGATGTCAAATAATTTCCTCCAGCTGAACTCAGACAAAACAGAAATCCTGGTCATCGGGTCCCAGCAGATGGCAAATCAAATACTGCCATCTGCTGGTTCCCTAGTAAATCACATTAAGCCTGTGGCAAAGAACCTTGGTGTTTGGTTTGATAGTAATTTAAATTTCGAGCAGCACACCACAAAGCTTGTTCAATCATGTTTTTATCAACTTAGAAATATAGCAAAATTCGATCTATGTTAACTTTTAAGGACACCGAGACCATTTTACACGCCTTCATCTCATCACGCCTGGATTATTGCAACAGCCTTTTCACCTGTTTAACCCAAAAATCTATTGATCGACTCCAGACTGTCCAGAACTCAGCTGCCAGGCTTTTAACCAGAACAAAGAAATATGACCACATTACTCCTATTTTAGCTTCATTACACTGGCTCCCAGTATGTTTTAGAATTGACTTTAAAATTCTATTGATCACTTTTAAAGCTCTTCATGGCCTCTCGCCTTGTTATATTTCTGACCTTTTAGTCCCATACGCACCAGCACGTACCTTGAGATCCTCGGGCAGAGGTCTGTTGTCTGTTCCAGAGTCTCGACTGAAAACTAAAGGGGACAGAGCGTTTGCTGTCAGGGCCCCGAGGCTCTGGAACAGCCTGCCCGAGGAAATCAGGTCGGCTGAGTCAGTGAACTCTTTTAAGTCCCTTCTTAAAACATACTTTTATAGGAGAGCTTTTCCCGATCTTATTTGACTTTATTTTATCCCTTTTATTTTATTGTATTTTACTAATTTTATATTAAATTTTCATGCTCTTATCTTTTTTTGTATTATTCTTTACACTTGTTAAAGCACTTTGTAACTTGTTTTTGAAAAGTGCTCTACAAATAAGGATTATTATTATATTATTATTACGTAGCGTCCTGTTTACATCAGGGGTTGTGAAACGAATTTGTAGTATAGTATTTGAAGAATTTCATACATGGGTGTAAGAGTCCTGTGTCTGTTGAAGCCTGTTGTACAGGCTTGTTACAATGTAATGGGGTTCACAACCCAAGTGTGAACCAGCGTGTTGGACAGATTGTCTTTGTATGAATTTGAAGTTTGAAGTTTTTTCCCTTAGGCACAATGAACGACATTAAGGGCAAGCGGTCCACGTTAGGGAAAGACGAGAAGCAGAAATACTTTGAAGAGGCAGAAGCACTGAGGGCATATGGGCAGGCACAGGACCTTAGCCCTGAGATGAGGGAGCTCAAAATTAAAATGCATCTGAAGAAGCAGAAGTTTGAGGTTTGGAAAGAAGCTTCATAGCTTGACATTAGTGGTATGAGTTGGCACTATAGTAGCATTATAGTATTAGGTGTAAGCTTGATTGACAGCAATTGTGATGTGAGATGTGATTAATTAAGTCATCCAATGATAACCGTACTCAAAGTATGTAATCCAAATGTACGTAATGAGCAATTACATTACATTTATTCATTTAGCTGACGCTTTTATCCAAAGCGACTTACAATTGCTATACATGTCAGAGGTCGCACGCCTCTGGAGCAACGAGGGGTTAAGTGTCTTATTATCAATTATTAAACATGAGAAGGCAAGCATAAGAGGTGCTGAATCACAACATCTAGCCTACATGAAGGAATATGCGCAGTAAGACCACATGTAGTCTGTAGGAAAAAAAGGAACAAAGTAAGTAAGTCAAGTGATTACAAGGCTATCGGCTTATACCGCCCCTTTCAAACTAAATTCCTACCGTTTGGGCCAGTCTGTTCAGATTAAGGTCGTCAACTGAAGCATTAGTAGTCAGATATGGCTGTGAGTCCAATTATTAGTGGAATATTAAACGCCATGTAAACACAGCTAATGTATAGTTAATGTAATCTCCCTGAGCACTTATTTCTCACGTGTCACAACACTGTTTTCATAGAAATTGCCTAAACCTGTTAAGAGTTGTTTCCTCAGTGTATGTTGGAAGTAGTTTGTGTCTATTTTATTTACCATTTTTGTGGATATCTTGTTTACCTAAATATTGTGAAGGTGTCCAGTCTTGAGGCTTTGGCTGTGGAAACGGCCATTTTGTCATTTGACCGCCAAAAGTCCAGCTTAGAGGTGTCTGAACTGAGCAGCAAAGAAGCCACTGACTTCCTTGACTCAACGGACACAGTCACCAACTTTCAGTCTCGGCCACAGGTAGTCTTAACGACTGTAACGACTGTCGTCACAGCAACCGGGAACACTAACGAACCAGCGGTATCGATGACCCGGGCCAACGACCCCACTGAGGTTAAATAGCTGAGTTTCCCTGCCAGTCAGTCAGAACTGAAGAAGTCCTTTGGATGAGGGACGAAACGTCTTCCAGTATCTTCAACCAAGTCCAGTTGCCCTTCATTTTAACCTTCGTTGGAGAACTATGACCTGGATGACTGAGAATCTTCACAGACAGTCACCAACTTTGCACTGCATTTCAAAGGTAATATTTGTTGTTTGAAAATCCACAGAAACGGGCACAGGCCCGTAATAATGCAAATATACATATGGTAATACAATTTTATAAACTTAATTGTTGTCTGTTGTTTCAGCTGCAGCCAGCTCCTCAGCCGCAACACCCAGTACCAAAGATGAAGTCAGTGTGCTGTTGAAAAAAGTGCAGGATCTATTCAACCAAAAATATAGTAAGCATATTTTCAAACTCTTTTTTTACAGATGTAAAGACTTATAACCTAATATACCTCCATGAATCAGTGGCATTATTATACAATTACTGAATAATTTATACCATAAAATGATGACAAAATGACATGTTTGCAACCCGTACACTGGCTACCAACAGGAGGGCAAAGTCACAATTGTCAAATTGTGTAACGTGTGCATGCATGTGTGTCCCCATGTTTTTCAGAGGAGGCTGGAGGTGTTGGAAGGCTCCCCTACCGGTCCCTGGTGAATCAAAGGGTGACCATAAATGTTGCTAGGCTGCCCAATGGTCTTACCCTCAAGAAGCCATCCTTTTATGGAAGCCATTTTAAAAGCTGCTGAGCATATTTCATTTGAAATAAGTAAGTGAAATTAACAGTGGCAGTTGTATTTCTGCATACCATTTGTGTGGGTGAAATAAGTTACCTAAAAAATAAAACAGGCCTACATGTGAGTCTTTGTATAGTGCTAGGACATTGCAAACATCCAGAAGAGCTTTATTACATTTTGTTATAGATTCTGTATGTGTCTTTGACACTTAGGGACGTGACAATATTCCTCAGTTGGAGTTTTTAACTATTTAGTGCAACACATTTTCTTTAATGTGACATGGCCCTTGGCAGTGTTTACATCTTTCACATGCTCATGAATATTAATAATTATTCATTCCAAAGTGACTTCCAATTGATATACATGTCAGAGGTCGCACGCCTCTTGAGCAACTAGAGGTTAAGTATCTTGCTTAGGGACACATAGGTAGATGTCACAGTAGGAATTGAACCCAGGCCTCCCACACAAGAGCCACGTGTCTTATCCACTGCCCCACCATCACCCGACTATTCAGTAATTAAACTGTCTGTGTTTCATTCCTGAGAATTGTATTCCTTCATAGATACGTAGATGTGTGATTGTGTTTTCTCCAGCAATGCAGGAATACCATTTATTTGTTACGCTCATATTACATAAGTGTTCCTTTTTTGCCTAAACATCTATCAGATGCAGCACAATGCCACCCCACTGACACAGCAGAGGGAAGTTCAGAACACATCAACGCAGAATGTAGGCTGAGTTGTTTTTTATTTTATCTTTACAGAAATATTTACTGTTAAACTGAAGAAGCATCCTTTACTAGATTTGTAACTGGTCAATCTACCTAATTACACAGCACATTTGACCACGGTACATATTATTGTACGATGGAAATAATGTGGTGAAATCACCTTTGTGTCACGGTGTAAAGTCTTCAAATCAACAGACACAGCAGATGACCTCCAGACGAAGTCGGTGGAAGAGATATTAGAGGCCATGTGTGAAAATGGTATTTCTTGTAATCGTAATACGTTTCGAATGCCAGTTTTTGGTAATGCTTAAATTAAAGCTTAATTAGAACTTCTGTTCTGAGAAGTCTGCCATTGACATTTGACACAGAGAGAAAAGCTCACTTGTTTGAAAAGTACAATATATAGATACAATATTTATCGACGTGACATTAAACAGCTTTTCTAAGTTTGGTATTTTGATCACTTTACACTTTAAATTGGCTGAGATTTAGATGCAAATAATGGTTCTGTGTCTATTTCCAGTCAGTCATTTACTTTAACCGTCGACAGTATAAACAAATTTCACTAAGTTTGTATTGTAATTGATTGTATTGAGAAAGCTGTTGTTGTGTTTTGTCTTATGTACTGTAGGTGCACAGCAGATGGAAGAGGAATCCTCAGAAACAACCAGTAATGTAGCCGTGCTGATGACTGCAGATGAAGGTATCTAAACTGTGGTTATTTTTATTCAACCAGGAAGTCTCATTGAGACTAATCTCTTTTTTTAAGGGAGACCTGGCCAAGATTGTATTCAGTATAGATAAAAACAAGTAGTTTTAGACAGATTCCAATACTACAATAGGAACAGCTATGGGAACAGAGGCATAGACGAACTAAATATCCAATTTTTTTCATTTTGGATAGAAAAGCTTTTAGGAAGATGCAATTTTAAGTCTTTCAGGAGCAGATTCAAGGCAGAAAGTGCAGAATACATAAACACCCCTTTTCCACTCTGTGGACAGACATAAGGGACCTAAAGCATAAAAACATCTTGAGACAAAGGATGTTGCCCAGTACAGTTCTTTAAAATACAAACTCCGAGCTAGCAGGGAGTCGTGCATCATAGTAATAAATATTAAACTTCAATTTCAGCTCAAGTTCAGCTCTGTACATAGTGAAATTATATTTGCTGCTCTCCTTTGAAATATTTAAAATACGGAGCTCAGAAACCTGATGAGGAGCATTTAGCTGTTTGGATTCTTTGTGCCTTAATCATTACTTCTAGATTTATGTAGATCAGAGTCTGAAAATGATTGATTCTTAGAGAGAAAATCAGAAATGGCTGAACATATCAGTCTATTTAATAATATATATGTAATATTAGTAATTAGGATAACGTTCATGATGTAGTCTGTATAAAAACTATGCAATATGAGTTTGTGTCTCAGTTAATTGTTTTTCATGTAGTCACCATAAGGGCTATGACATTTTAAACAAATACAATAAAGATTTTGGCCAAAAACAACATGATAGAGGCCCAATTCAGAAAGCAGGTTCAACAGTGAACTGGTTTATTGTCACAATACAACAGGTTGGAGAGTGAAATTGAGTTTTGTAACTCGCGACTCTGTACGCAGGATAAGCAGCTGACGATGGATGGATGGAACTCTTTAATGCTACATAGCCTACAATGCACATTAATAAAGAATCAACTCTGATCAGTTTATTTACCCTGAGATCCAGAACAGCTGATCTGAGTTTGTTTAATCAACTCAGAGTAGGTTCACTCTCAGTCAAGCGTGTGCACCACCGCTCTAAACAGGCAACATAAATTGAGCCACGATACTACGATTCACCATGGCAACAGCTAAAAAAATCATTCCTCATACTTCACACGTCTGGAGTTGGAAATCCTCAGGCAAAACATATGCAGAGTTTTTCTTCTTAAAAAGTGAATATAGTCTATTTAATTTATATTTAATCACATATTCCAGGTGAAGTGGAATGAGATTTAACATAATGTTTTCATTTAGCTGCAATTCTGGATAGAACAGATGTGAAAGAAGCTAAAATTGAAATATAAGAACAAAGTAGTGATGAGATTTCTGAATTGAAAATCGGGGACCTTTCTGGGGACAGAAAACCAAAAACGGGGACGTCTGGTCAGTGGTCACCTTATTTTAGTCTGCCTAACAGACTTCATTAAAAAATGCTGATCATTTTTATTGACACGGATGGTAAAACTCTTGAATGAAGTAATGAGGAAACAGCGCTGTGTCAGAGGGAGGAGACTGAGAAACTCCAGGTTTATTGAAGAAAAAAGTTCACTCTCAGTTACCGTTGTAACTGACAGAGCTAAAGTTAGCTCGCTTTCTGAAAGGCTCTGAAACAGAAAACCAAGAGTTTACCTCATTTCAGGGTGAAACTCAAGAGTTTTCATTAAACCCGCTTTCATATATGGGCCCCAGGAACCCTTCTTTGTTGACCTGCTTGTATCTTATTATACAGCATCAGCAAGATCTGAGATGGTGGGTGTCAGTTCTGGTGAACTGATGTGCAATATCCACATTTTAATTTGGCAGCAGTTGGAAATGAAAAGCTTACTTTGAAACATTGCTTTGAATATGTCGATTTCAGCAAACTGGTTTCACCTCCAAAATATTTTTGTTTTTCCTTTGGTAGATCGAGGCAGTTTGCGCTGTGTCTGCCACCTCCATTTGATGACAAGAAGAAGAACGCTACAAAGAAGTGGCGTTCATGGTCGCAGTGCACAGTGTGCCAACTGTGGTCACACACTGCATGTGGATTTAAAAGCAACATGTGTCTTCACTGCCAGTGTCAAACCTCCATGCACACACGCTGACCTTTTGCATCAGTGTTAGGAAACATGTAATGTTTACTGCTTTCCAAGGTTTAGTTTAAGTTGTTTGAGTTTTCTTACTGTGTTGACAGGCCCCACCCCCTCCCTACACACACACACACACACACGCATACGTGCACACTTCCAACACTGCACAAATATGTTTTTATTAAAAATGAAATTTATATGAATCTCGGCGCTACATATATTTTCATTCAGCCTGATTAAGATTCCTTTTATTTATTGTTGGTGTTTGTTGGCCCCGTCGATGTGGTCCCTGTTTAAACTGTGCCATGTGGGGAACTAAATAAAGTTCTACTGAACTGAGTACATGTGTTGTAAATGAAAAGCCTATTTGTTCATAAATCTCTGTTGATGCTGATATGATTAGACGCTTCACATCGGCCTGATGGATTTTTCACAGTCCTGCACATGATGGTTAGAATTTCCTGTTGCATTGTCACTGGTAGGTATTTGGTAAAATGGATTTTAAGAAGATGTTTTATGTCAGAGCAGTAGTGAAACTTTGTCATTCAGTTGAAGACTACAGTTTATTTTTTAAACTTTAAATGTAATAGATGCATAATTCAACAATATGATACGTTAATTATTTCTCCTTTGATTCCGAGAAATAACCATGATGGAGCTATCTGCCGTGGATTGGCTTGATTCCATTTCAAACTGCCGACCGTCGGCCGCAACTACCGAACGAACGCCACTATCTCTGTTAAGAAAAGGCGTTTCTAGCCTGTGATTGTAACATATAAAGTTGCTCTTTTCATTTTATAGTTATTAGAAACCAATACATCGTTGGAAAGGTCTCAACCTGTAGATTACCATATATCAGGATGAAGACTCTGAATGGATCCTGCTTTGAAATACTGACCTTTGAACCTTCACCTTGGTGCATGTTTGAATGCTTATAATTCATCAACGAAAGAGACTACAGACATGAGACCAACTGTTAAAGAGAGCTCTTGACCTTAGCTGTCATGTGAGTACAGTCAACAACTGGGGGCCCAATCAAATGTGGTTAAAATTCCAAATTCCACGTTAACACGTTTTAGAAACTACAATTCCCTTTAGCCACGCCATGCAGTTTGAGTCAAATCAGCACCACGGTTGTAGTTTTTCCTGTGTGCAAAGTTAGGGTTGTAATATAGGGTTGTAAAAACATATACCTACTGAATATATAACATATGTAGTACAGCCGAACTACTACTTACACTGAATCTAGATAATCCATGTTAAGAAAAAGTAAATATCTTGGTTTATTTCACATATTTTAGCAAAAACAGGAGTCCAAAAGGCAAACTCCGCCCACAAAACGAAGCACTTCCGTAACCTTCCGCTACCAAAAACTGACAAAAACAACTTTATTTGTCGAATCGATGGAGAAATGATTAAAAGTGAAAGCCTTAACATGAACATATCCTATTGTTGAGTTATGAAGTTGCTGTTCTTCTGTTAAGAAATGCTAAAGATATCATTAAAATATATCTTAGGTTGACAGTGAAGAAAATACTTCCGGGCGGTTTCGGGTTTCAGCGACAGCAGCGTCAATAGCAACCACCATAGCAACGAACTAAAGAGAAAACTAAATACAAAATACATTCTCTGATCAAAGACTGTAAAATAATACGCAAAACACATCTTAAAATATTGCACAGTGACAATTAACATTTCCAGCTTTGCAGTCTCATCCCTTGTTTTACAGCTTCCGCATGACGTCAAGGCCTGATAACAGCAGCCGATGGGAAGAGGAAAAAAAGGTGCTCGCCTACATCGGCCTCGATCAGGGAGCATTTCATGCCAAAAACACCTTTAGTAAGAACGTACGAGCACCACTGTCAGGCTGATTCTGATTGGATAGGTCATATATTAATAAGTTACTTTCTTATTGACTTCTCAGTGTGCTGTCAATAACTGCTCTGACTGAAAACACACCTGTGTGTCATTGTGGGAATGCTATTGTAGAGTCAGTATACCTGTATTATATTGAGTGTATTGTGGAAGTAACCTTCATTTAAATATGTTTTACAAAGGTGTCCTTTTTACAAAAACATGTTGTACAAATACAGTAAAATGGTTAGTGTTAACTGTAAAGTTCATAACACCAAAGCTGACTATACCTTGAGTATTACTAGGCTGTAGAAAGTTACTTAGACAGCAGCGTCTACAAAAACAGTGTTTATTGTTCAAAACAGCAAGTTTCAACCATTTTTTGTTTCAATTGGCAGGACAGTTCACAGCTCATGAAAAACAAACACGGACTCTGTTGCAGTTCCACTAATAAAGTGATCAGCAACACAGCCTTAATTTGATTGAGAGCACTTACAATGAAGACACACACAGAACCGAACTGTCTGAGTCTGACGCATGTTAGTTAGTCTTGAATTAAGGAGGCATTTTTAATTATGTATAACAAAACGTACAAATTTGCTCAAAGTATTCGTTCCAGAAGCAGAAAACCTCCCCTCGTCTAGAGTGCTTACAGACCTAGTTGCTATCATCGTCGTCGCTGTATACCAGTGTCTGTATGCTGACATGGGGAGGGCCCGAGACAGGCGGGGGTCGTCTGGGGTGACGTAAGCGTGCGTTGCAGGAACGACGTCTGGTACACGTTGGTGAAGCATCGTAGCGGCGTGATGTAGTTTTCTTTCCAGCTGTTGGAGACGTTGGATGAGGACAGCTTTTGCACCTGGCTGCTCTGTGTCATTGATGGCAGAACACAGGAAGGCGTGCTGCTGTTGGAGGTGGTCAGCTACAGTTCTCATTTCCTGGTAAAGCGTGTGCTTTTCCTCAGCGGCCGAGTCTTCATATGTAAGGCGTCGACCCCTCGCCTTTTCAGACTCCTCGGAACATCATCTTCTTCCACCTGGAAGAAGAAGAAAGAAAACAATGTGCAACGTAGTTGTGGTTAGTAAGCGGTTGTCAGGTGGTTACTAGAGTGATGCGGTCACTAGGTTTTGGTAACTATACTTACAGTGTCATCAAAACAGAAGTAGAGTGGCCGAGAGGGATCACATGATTCTTGAAAATCAATAGTTGCAGGGAAGATGCTCATCTGTGGTGGCCACTGAATGCTGTTGTACTCTTTTATTGCCTGTCTCAGTCTCTTGTTGGAGTTGGCAACCTGCTTGGACAGTCTAACGGCAACGCCCTGCCCATCTAAAGTAAAGTTATAAAAGAGACACGCCTTCGTTATGATGGTCCTTTACAGAGTTTTAAATTGATCTACTTATCCACAGCACTTTAGCTGGATATTTCCTCTTCAGATGGAGGAGGACGGCTCTCTCCTTTGATTCAGCTCTAGCCTTCCAGATCAGTTGGCCTCTGACATCACGGTCATCTTTAAGGGTGGACTGGAAGATTAAATCAGATTCTTGCCATCTTCTCCGAATGCTCTGTTTTTTCTCCATGTTTAGCAGAGAGTTCTCTTTCTACAATGGTCAGAGAGTAAAAATGACTGTTAATCAGAGAACAGTAACAGACTGATACTGCTTACTTACTCTGTTTCATCCTCCATGTGTGACTCACGAGTCCCAGATCTGTATATTATAAAAAGTATCAGTAATTACCAACCAGAAAACATTCCTGTGCTGCACCTGACCAAACATTGTACGTTACAGGGGGGAGCTTGGTGCTAATTGATTATTAATCACACCATATTTAATTACTGCATTGTGACAGTTTCCTAGAAAACAGGACGGTGTTATTGTCTCGCTCATAGCTATGTAATCACACCTAGGCTTCCATGTTTAAGCACATCAGTAAGGCGCTCAAGTTAAGATGGGTGTAATTCCCATATAGTCTTCCATAAACAAACTGAACGCTTACTTGAACATGTAGAACTGAATCAGCTTAGTGATGTCGTCCCTTTTCCATCTACAGACAGTGTCTGGAGAACAGATAATGACATTACTTCATTTCATGTTACTTCTTCACCGACACAGCTTACAGGATACTCTACTGTACATGGAAAAGTACGTGTAACGGATTTTCAATATCCTTTGTTAATTATATGTGTGACCTTTGTACAATATTCCAAGACGTTCAAGCATTCACTTCAGTTTACTTACTTATTGACTTTGGTTTTTCTTGGGCTAGCTCCAGCTTCCTTTTCTTCCATCTCTCCATGTCTCGCTCTGAGACAAACACTAGACAATAAAAATAAAGTGTCAATGCTACATACTCTGTGCAAAGGGCGCTTGTAAATGTTCACAGCTATTGTTACCTGCATGTGCATGACTTACCTGGTGCTTCTCTGATGACAGATGAGATGTCTTCTTGAGCGAGGATTGATATTTTCTCTGCCTTGTCTAATTTTTGCAGGAGCTGCACCTCAACTTTTGTTTCCTTCTGCTCACCAATTTGTGTGTCATCAGCTTAAACCACCAGGACAGAATTTTGTAGACAAACGTGGGTCAGTGGATTTCCTCCGTCCATAGAGCAGAAGGGCATCAGTCAACAGGTCCAGGCGGTGCGAGGGAGTCATCTCCTTTGTGACTCTGGCAAATCTTCGGAGGAAAGACCGCAGACTTTCCATTCCTTCCCCGTCTGTGAGCCCAAAACCATCGAGCCGTCTGGTGCTGTACTTGATCTGCGATTACAGCAAAGTCATCCAATATCACCTACACTGAGGTTGAGCATTATCCTACTAAAGTGGAAACTGCTCATAATGATCACGGTTGCAGTGATCAACTATTTCAATGGATCCAAAAGGACAGAATCCATCCTATATATTTATTTTTATAAGAATAATTTACAATAATCAAATAGTCTGCTTACAGTGTTCATTTAGGCTGTGTGTGAACATATGCTTGCTGCGCGCAGTCAAGCATCATGGGATATTTTCCTGCTGAGGCTCAGCGAGTTATTTGGCCCTTCCATTCCTGATCCGCTCGCGTTTTGGGATCCCCGCTCTATCGCAGCAGTAGCTCGGCCTGCGGTATGTTACGTGAGTGGAGTGTAATGCTTTCACCCTGAGCCTTCAGACAGGGCTTGGAGCAGGAGAGGGCCTTTACTCAGCTTATGTTATTTTATCTTTAAATCAGTAAATAGCAAAACGGCCCATTTCATTCATTTATATCCATGTAATAAATACACAAATGCCCATTAGATGGTAACCTGCGTGAGAAATAAACAAACTTTGGTTATAACAATCATCTGCTTTGACCCGGACAGACGTGACCACTATATGCAGTCTCCATTGTGTCCTAAACAGCGCATCACTGATTTAGATCTGAACACACACCAGGCGGGAAAAGCTTTAAGATTACTTCTAGGCATTTCTATTTCATTTCAGCAGTGCAGTGGATAGACAGGAAAATGGAGGCAGAGAGTGAATGATGTCTGACACAGGTCCTGATGGCAATTTGTGTCCATAAATGTGAAATGCTGGTACGGCCAAGGAGATGTTGTGTGCTTATCACTTTTACACAGGAGTTTAAAGATTTACTCACATGCAAATGGGAAGCAACAACACAGGCAATGTCATAGACAACTCGCAGGTGTATGTGCTTGTTCTCACATCTTCGAAGAAGCTCATCGACGACATACAGGGGATAGGCTAATCTATTACAACACACAACATGGGAATGATGAAAGAGAGAAAAATATATAAATATCCAAAAATGATGTTTTCGTTGCTCTAAGTGAGAATGGTGGTAAAGTTAGGGTCATGCTGTTCTAAGCTTTTTATGAATAGCTACAATCAAACAGGGGAATTATCATTATGGACGACTGAGTCAACAGTCATAGATGTGACCGCTGTGGCGTAGCCTTACCGTTCTCCTCGGCTCATGTCGACAAACATTAGGGGCGTTTCATGACGACAAGAGGCTCCAAACACTCCTGTAACATCGAGTTTCTTCGCTTGTCTTTGTGACCTCAGCACATCGCCAGCCTTGAAGTTACTACAGTACTAAATATTTAAGGAAATGACATTTAAGGGAAGAGTAATGGTCTTTTTCTAGGAGTTAAATCTAACATTTTATGGACTCAACTGCAACTGTGACTAACCTCACGAGGCTTTGAGCGGTCATGATGTGATAGCAGGTGTTCCTCTACATCCTTTTCATCAACAAACATGCGGGTTCCATGCAACGGCTCAACCACACTTGTCCCGGAGCTTTGCTTCCTCACAAGGCCAAAGTTGGCATCCAGTCAACACTAAGAAAACCACTTTGTGTCAAACTGTGGCTCCATGGAGCATCTATGTAGCACACAATATAACAAGGGTTTCCTCATGGAGAGCTTTTAAAATGTACAACCTTTTATCAACACTAAGAACACACAAAGCGCTTTTACCAAGAAAACACTTGGAGCTGCAAACAGTTTCCAACAGTTTCCACCAGTCTGCAGACCTTTTTACTACAAATCTGTGTGTGTTGAGCTGCTTTCACAGTTTACAGCCTGTTTTTAAGGAAAGGATCTCTGGTTTCAGTGTTTCTCCGTTCACATGCAGCACGACTCTCTGAAGAAACTCCAAAGTACACTTCAGGCTTTCTGGGTACTCAGCCTGGAGGACATACTGCAAGTACAAGTACATGAGTGTATCAGGGCAGCACTCAGTCCTCTGAAAACAAAAGTCTAGTCAAAGTGAAAGATGCTTTTCTTTTGCTGAGTGCTCAAAGAAAAGTTGCTGTTTAAAGATTTCTGACAGACAGAAGTTCATCAACATGCTGCTGTCTGGTTTTACTGAGAACCAGCCGCCAGTTTATGTCACTGATTTCACCCCAAAAACATCCATTGTGTTAAATTTATTTATTGACTGAAAAGCAACAGAAGACAAGTTCACACTTGAGTCCAGAAGACAAACCCTGGTGAACATGATGCTGTCAGGACTGATGAAGGCCGGGGAACCAGAGGAAACACACAAAGATAAGAAACATGAGAGAGAAATATTATTTTAAGGAAGCCCAGATTTCCATCAGACTGATTCATGCTGAGTGTTCTGGTGTCTAAACAAGATGGATCTGGAGTTTTCTCTAAACCCAGCTCAGTGTCAGCTGCTGCTCCATCATTTCCTCTCTGCTGGATTGAACTCAAAATGGATTTTTGATGTGGATTAAACAGAGTGAGACTAAATCTGGTCCAGTTTATTAAAAGTTAGAAGAAAAAAACAGAATAAAAAACAGTGAGAAACTTTACTTATTTTCTATTGATTTAAATTCAGATGTAACTGCATAAAGAGATCACGCCTCTATTTAAGGCTCATTTATTGATCATGTTCCAAAGACAGAAAATCCTGCAGGGACTCTGAACATAAAACACTAAATACAATACAAATATATAAAACAAACACTAAAACCCACCACACAAAACAAAGTATAAAGAGACGACTTCACAGATAACCTGCAGCACATCAGGCCGCCATCATCATCATCATCATCATCATCTTCCACCACTTTTAAATGACAGACTCATCAGGAGCATTCAGCTAAATTATAATTCCACTTCATTTTAGTAAAGGTGAGAAAGGCCTCCTGTGGTGTCAGCTGAGATGAACCAGCAGAGTCCTTCCTGTTCACACCGAACTCCGTCTGGAGGAACACAGCAACAACAACGAGGTGCTGGTAGAGAGCAGGATGAGTCTATGAAGAATCAAAAACAAACTACCGCACACTGATCTGACTTACTGCTAATAAAGCAGTTTGTGTGCCTGGGAGAGACACTGCTGCTGCACTATAACGACCTTGTGTCTTGTTGCTGTGCTCAGTCTTGCCCTGAGGTTTGACTGACAGGAAACTTCAGCACCTTGTTAGCTGAGTTTGGCTGTATTCCTCCTACACAGCTGTTTCTGTTTCAGTGAAACCTTCACATTGAAGTTTTGGTCATAAGCACCTGTTTGGTTTAATGTTAAATCTCTACAAAATCCCTGACTGTGAAAGTTTACCTACAAGAACTGATGCAAAGTTTGATCACACCACATATAGATTTTTCTTCTGTTCACTCACTTTGTATTTTGTTAATTGATAAATCTATTAAGGTGTATTTTTACACAGTTAACTGACGTCCATGTCTTCTTGTTTCATTTGCAGAGTCTCAGTTCTGCTTCAGCTCAGATTCAGATTTCTGGAACAGTGTGGATCCAACATCCTGAAGTCCTCAATCAGAGCTGAACTGGCTTCTGTTCCTTTGTTTCGCACCATGTCAATCACCGCTCGAGCCCTGTCAGCCCTGGTTCTGGATCTAGCTGAATCCATTTCTTCTTGATTTATTATGTCTCGTTGCAAAAGCCGATCCAGCAGCTGGTTCAGAACAGGTTCAGACACTGAATCTACAAACTGGGACCGAACTGATGCCAACCTGCTCCGTGGGGAGCCACTCTGAGGCCTCGCTGGATTCTCTTCACGCAGAGCCGGATCTAAGCAGAACAAAGAGTTCAGTAAAACAGACCTGTGACTGTGTGTTCGCACAGAAAGCAAAGCAGATTAGACAAATGAATGTTAGACACAAAGTGCAGCCGGATGCAAACAAACTCAAGCTGATCCTGAAGCTCAAACATCCAGAGAGGAAACAGGAGAGACGCTGGAGGGACAGAAGAGAAAGAAGAGGAGTTCATCATTCAGAGGCTGAACTCAACACAAACACAATCTTAGTTGTGGCATCTGTTGCTAACTAGCTTACAGCTGGTACACAATAAAAACAAACATGCAGCTGCTTTCTGTCTGAAAAGACGTTTAGAAATAAGATGGACTGATTGAAATGTAAAGTGCTTCAAAGGTCAGCTCACCCAAACCACAAAAACAGTTTCAGTTTTACTCTGTTTTGCTGGTTAAATGTCTGCAGTGACCTGATTCGATGGCAGAGAACTTGTCTTCTGTCATGGTCACAGCTTTCAAACATGCACAAAGCTCAGAAACAACATTTCCATGTCCCTGTTCCTGTAATACTGATCACTGTCCTCTGGAAGGAACTGCAGCTGAGATCCAGAAACTTTACAGATTATATGTTTCTCTCTTTCACACTGTGTCACATTCCAAAGTCACAACCTCCCTTTAGACCTCGGTACTCTTTTTTTACTCGAATTTTAAAAATTAGAGTCGAGAGTAAAGTGGTCAGACTTGATCTCAAGCTTTATAACCAAGAAATTAATACACGTGTTTGATTCTCACACATACGGAACATAAAATATAAATATACAGTCACACACACATATATGTACAGTGGGTACGGAAAGTATTCAGACCCCTTTAAATTTTTCACTCTTTGTTTCATTGCAGCCATTTTCCAAAAATCAAAAAAGTTCATTTTATTTCTCAGTAATGTACACTCAGCAGCCCGTCTTGACAGAAAAAACAGAAATGTAGAAATTTTTGCAAATTTATTAAAAAAGAAAAACTGAAATATCACATGGTCATAAGTATTCAGACCCTTTGCCGTGACACTCATATTTAACTCAGGTGCTGTCTATTTCTTCTGATCATCCTTGAGATGGTTCTACTCCTTCATTTGAGTCCAGCTGTGTTTGATTATACTGATTGGACTTGATTAGGAAAGCCACACACCTGTCTATATAAGACCTTACAGCTCACAGTGCATGTCAGAGCAAATGAGAATCATGAGGTCAAAGGAACTGCCTGAAGAGCTCAGAGACAGAATTGTGGCAAGGCACCGATCTGGCCAAGGTTACAAAAACATTTCTGCTGCACTTAAGGTTCCTAAGAGCACAGTGGCCTCCATAATCCTCAAATGGAAGACGTTTGGGACGACCAGAACCCTTCCTAGAGCTGGCCGTCCGGCCGAACTGAGCTATCGGGGGAGAAGAGCCTCGGTGAGAGAGGTAAAGAAGAACCCAAAGGTCACTGTGGCTGAGCTCCAGAGATGCAGTCGGGAGATGGGAGAAAGTTGTAGTAAGTCAACCATCACTGCAGCAATCCCCCAGTCGGGGCTTTATGGCAGAGTGGCCCGACGGAAGCCTCTCCTCAGTGCAAGACACATGAAAGCCCGCATGGAGTTTGCTAAAAAACACCTGAAGGACTCCAAGATGGTGATAAATAAGATCCTCTGGTCTGATGAGACCAAGAGAACTTTTTGGCCTTAATTCTAAGCGGTATGTGTGGAGAAAACCAGGCACTGCTCATCACCTGTCCAATACAGTCTCAACAGTGAAGCATGGTGGTGGCAGCATCATGCTGTGGGGGGGTTTTTCAGCTGCAGGGACAGGACGACTGGTTGCAATCGAGGGAAAGATGAATGCGGCCAAGTACAGGGATATCCTGGACGAAAACCTTTTCCAGAGTGCTCTGGACCTCAGACTGGGCCGAAGGTTTACCTTCCAACAAGACAATGACCCTAAGCGCACCGCTAAAATAACGAAGGAGTGGCTTCACAACAACTCCGTGGCTGTTCTTGAATGGCCCAGCCAGAGCCCTGACTTAAACCCAACTGAGCATCTCTGGAGAGACCTGAAAATGGCTGTCCACCAACGTTTACCATCCAACCTGACAGAACTGGAGAGGATCTGCAAGGAGGAATGGCAGAGGATACCCAAATCCAGATGTGAAAAACTTGTTGCATCTTTCCCAAAACGACTCATGGCTGTATTAGATCAAAAGGGTGCTTCTACTAAATACTTTCCGTACCCATATATATATATATATATATATATATATATATATATATAGAGAGAGAGAGAGAGAGTAGACTTTTTATATATTTTAGGAGGATTATGAAGCATACTGCTTTCCTCCACTTCATACCTACAGATCATGTTAGTAGTGTTTCCCACAGGATTTTGTGAAAGTGGCGTGGCCCCCGCAAGAAAATCTTATAAATTTTAAATACATTAAGCAAAATAAAGAGGCTAGATGTATGAAGAACTTTGCACTCTTTTTAACAGTTTTGTGACTTAGTGAACAATTAGATCATTAACACATGGCCATGTAGCCTTTAGATATATGAAACAGCAAAACAGTCAAAACAACCATAATAATTACATTTTTTATTAAGTTAAAAATAGTTTTGTTTTTTTCCTTTTAATGGACACATGTGACCTGTTTTATACTTCCTGTGAATATAATCCAGTTAATCTTATTTCCATCCTGTATACGTTGTGTTAACACCTTATTTTGAAAACCAGACGCTCTCACATGTGTATCCTCGTGCTACCGTCCGACGCAGTTTGATAAATTCTAATGTATAGCATTGTAGTGTAGAGCAATGAATATGCTCGTATAACCTAGAGTGAAGACTTCTTACCTCCCTTATTGTGAGACTCATACTGTAAATGAATAAAATCAGCTGTCGGCTCGCTTTGCTCCGGTTCACTGCATTTACTGTTTGCTGAGAGGGAACCAGAACAGGAAGCTGAAAGTCACTATAAAGGTCAGTAAAGGCGAGAAGCTGCAGATTCAGCTGATGACTCTCTACCAGAGACTCCAACACACTGTCGCTTCATACATTGTGTTTTATACAAACTGGCCCTGGAGCTTCTTGACCAATAAGATTCTTCAAAACTGGTTTAAAGTTGCTGCAGGATGAATGCAGACTGAAGAGCGATCTGAGGCAGAGTAAGAATAAAGGCCTATCAGGTGGAGCGATGCTGCAGGTGCTTGAAGACTTTACCTGTCACCACAACTTTACGCTTCCAGACTTCCATATTTCTTTGGTCTTGGAGCGTTAAAGTCACTTCTTGTTTGTCTGTCGGCAGGAAGATCTCAAATGTTGGATGGTAATTTGGTCCAAAGTCCAGGTCAAAATCTTCTTCCTGAAAACCAAAGTGTCAGAACTTCCACAGCATCCAAAGTCAACCTAACAGCAGATTGATGAATAGTGTCAGCAAAGATTTTTATTTAAAATACTTACCGTAGGCTGAATTTCCTTGGCCTGAGGACAGAGAAGAGTGTAACTTTCAGCTTTGATGAGTTTGCATTTAGAAGCAGTCTTGATGTTCTTATAAGGCTGCTGTTGTTTGCTGACCTGAAGAGACAACAGAACATTTTAACATTTATATTAGACGTTAATCCTCAGTCCTCGTTTTGTACAAAAATATCCAACAATCTGTGTTAGACACATCAAGTAGAGATCTTCCAAAGTTGGGTCAGTGTAAAATTCCCTCTTTGTGTTTCCCTGCTGAGCTGCAGTGGACGGTCAGTAACAAAAACAGGGAATGTTACACTAAAAGGCTGTAACAGCCTCCGGTACCTTTCTAATGCTCATTATTTAGGATCTTAAATAATTTGTGGGTGTAACTGGCTTCTCTCACAAAGGAAACCTGGCGAAAACTACACCGAGCCATTTCAGTCGAAGTTGTCACGCCTCCCTTCTGAGTTCTCATGCTAACTGTGAAGATAGTGAGGCTAACGCTGGCACGCAGGAGGTCATGGCAGAGAAAAAAAGGTTGTGAGCCCGCTGATGGGGAAGAGTTGTAGGACAGCAGAAAAGTGATAACAGCTGCTGTCGCAAACTTGAAGTAGAGAACATGAGAAAATATGTTAATGAGCGTTTCAAGCGGGTCGACCACACAGAGCTCCGAATATCTTCAGGAGAGGACAGCATCTCTTACCATGAGATAAATTACAGGAATAAAATGTCTGTGACAAGAACTGCCAGGACTGACGGACAGATTCTCAACAAGAACCTTCCAGTGAGATTCTTTGAGGACCGGCAACCGGTGTACACAAAACACTAAAGTAAAGAGTTTGATGCTGCAAGACAACAACTCCGTTCCATGGGAATCCAGTACGACATGATTCCTCCCGCTCAACTGCTGGTGACCCACAACAGACAATCTGGCATCTTTAACAGACCAGGTAAAGCAGAGGACTTTGAAGGGTGATGAAATCTCACGCTTTTGTATTTTTTTTTTTTGTTTGATTGTGTTTTCCTCTTGTGTTTTCTCCCTGATTCTGTTGTCTCCTCTCTGTTCTATGTTCTCTCTCTGCATTCACTCCGTTTCCTGTTTGGCTTTGGTAGGGTTCTTCGTTGTGTGTCTAGTGCTACTTTTACTTCCTGTCTTTTCCTTGATTGTTTGTACCGATCACCTTCACATGATTGTGATCACCTGTGCCTCATTATCCTCCCCCCTCCAGTGTGTATGTGTGTCAGTGGGGCCAAACAGTATTTAGTCAGCCACTGATTGTGCAAGTTGAGAGAGGTCTGTAATTTTCATCGTAGGTACACGTCAACTATGAGAGACAAAATGAGGGGGGAAAAATCCAGGAAATCACGTCGTAGGATTTTTAAAGAATTTATTTGTAAATTATGGTGGAAAATAAGTATTTGGTCACCCACAAACAAGCAAGATTTCTGGCTCTCACAGACCTGTAGGCTCTTCTTTAAGAAGGATTAATGGCACCTGTTTGAACTCGTTATCTGTATAAAAGACACTGTCCACAGCCTCAAACAGTCAGACTCCAAACTCAACCATGGCCAAGACCAAAGTGATGTCGAAGGACACCAGGAAGACAATTGTAGACCAGCACCAGGCTGGGAAGAGTGAATCTACAATAGGCAAGCAGGTTGGTGTGAAGAAATCAATTGTGGGAGCAATTGTAAGAAAATGGAAGACGTAGATCTGGGGATCCACGCAAGATCTCATCCCGTGGGGTCAAAATGATCATGAGAACGGTGAGCAAAAATCCCAGAACTACACGGAGGGACCTGATGAATGACCTGCAGAGAGCTGGGACCAAAGTAACACAGGCTACCATCAGTAACACACTACGCCGAGAGGGACTCCAATCCTGCAGTGCCAGGCGTGCCCCCCTGCTTAAACCAGTACATGTCCAGGCCCGTCTGAAGTTTGCCAGAGAGCAGATGGATGATCCAGAAGAGGATTGGGAGAATATCATGTGGTCAGTTGAAACCAAAATAGAACTTTTTTTGGAGGAAGAAGAATGCAGAGTTACATCCCAAGAACACCAGACCTACTGTGATGCATGGGGGAGGAAACGTCATGCTTTGGGGCTGTTTTTCTGCAAAGGGGACAGGAAAACTAATCCACGTTAAGGGAAGAATGAACGCGGCTATGTATGGTGAGATTTTAAGCCAAACCATCAGTGAGAGCCTTGAAGATGGAACGTGGCCGGTTCTTCCAGCATGACGGTGATCCCAAACACACCGCTCGGGCTCCGTAAAAAGCATTTCAAGGTCCTGGAGTGGCGTAGCCAGTCTCCAGACCTCAACCCCATAGAAAATTTGTGGAGGGAGTTGAAAGTCCGTGTTGCCCAGCGACAGCCCCAAAATATCACTGCTCTAGAGGAGATCTGCAGGGAGGAATGGGCCAAAATACCAGCTACAGTGTGTGCAAACCTGCTGAAACTTACAGGAAACATCATTGCCAACAAAGTTTATGTTACAAAGAACTGAGTTGAACTTTTGTTATTGACTAAATACTTATTTTCCACCATTATTTACAAATAAATCCTTTAAAAATCCTACAATGTGATTTCCTGGATTTTATTTTATTTTTTTATTTTGTCTCATAGTTGAAGTGTATCTACGATGAAAATTACAGACCTCATCTTTCTAAGTAGGAGAACTTGCACAATCAGAGGCTGACTAAATGCTGTTTGCCCGTGTGTATGTGTATATATTACATACTGCAGGTAAAAGAAGTATTGAACACATTACTATTTTTCTCAGTAAACATACTTCTAAAGGTGCTACTCAATTCAATTGTTTCAATTTTATTTATATACGCCAACTCACAACAACAGTTATCTCACAGTGCTTTTCATAAGAGCAGGTCTAGACCGTACTCTGTGATGCTACTGACATCAAATTTTCACCAGATGTTGGTAACAATAATCCATACATAAAAACAAATCAGTTCAGAAATGAATTTCTGTTATAATGTGAAATGACACAGGGAAAAAGTATTGACCACATGAAGAAAGAGAGCCAAGACACCAGCTGAAATCTATCAGTAAATTAGCAAATTTACATCAGCTGGTTCAGGCCCAACTGATGGCCTATAAAAAGGTCATTACCAAGTTGTCACACAAGGAACATCTCATGATGGGCAAAAGCAAAGAGTGCTCTCAAGACCGTTGCAACCTCATTGTTGCTGAACATACTGATGGCATTGGTTACAGAAGGATTTCTAAACTTATAATCTGGAAGGGAGGGAGGCAGCCTACACAATATACACACAGAGGTACAGACAGTGAAGGTGATGTTGCTATAGACTAAATGAAAAATGGTACAGATATTTATAGTAGTGTTAATGGTAAGTCGTAATGTTAATGATTATAATAACAATAATAACAATAGTATAATAGTCGTTGCAGCAGAGGGTGTCGAGCAGGAACACGGGGGGCAGCAGGTGACCCGCAACCACAGATCCAGACTCCACAGCTCCAGAGCCAGAAAACCTGCAGGAAGTGATAGGAGGAGAGAGGAGAGGGACGAGAAAGCACAAGACTACCAGAAAGGGGAGAAGTTGTGTTAGTAACATGCAATAATAGGATGAGGTTGCATACAGAGGGAGAGAAAGTAGAGGAGAGAGGAGCTCAGTGCATCATGGGAAATCCCCCGGCAGTCTAGGCCTATAGCAGCATAACTAAGGGATGGTTCAGGACTCACCTGAGCCAGCCCTAACTATAAGCTTTATCAAAGAGGAAAGTCTTAAGCCTACTCTTAAATGTGGAGATGGTGTCTGCCTCCTGAACCCAAACTGGAACCTGGTTCCACAGGAGAGGAGCTTGCTAGCTGAACGCTCCAAGTCTATTCTAGGTCTAAACCATGCAACAATGCATTCCAGCTGTGTTTCAACATTTATTTAGGCTACACAAACACTCCACTCACTTAATGAGGCTGCTGATGAGTTAAAAGAAACATGACTTGTTGGAAATGACAATAAAATAGTGTTTTTTACAAGCAGCGCATCACATCCACACGCTGGCGCTCAGCGTTTGGCTCATAAGGAAACGAACATGTGAAAACAATACATGATCTATTTAGGCATTCTTTTGCAGAAACAGAATCTCCGTTTGTGTTTCTTATCCTGAATCTGGATCTGTTGTGTGCGCTGCAAATGATCTTAAATAATGGGGTTTTTTTGCCCATCAAACGGGTGTTTGTTCATTCAGAAAGGCTTTAAGCCTACAATACTCAGAGGTAATATTTGGATATATTTTACACAGCAGTCAGCCTATTCATTTCAAACAGTTTCGTCCTTCTGCCATGTGTGTACGCATGGTTCAGAATTTACTTACAGGACGCACATTTTCCCCTCAAGTTAGTTTTTTATAGATCACAACCTTGGCTTGGGAAGTGGCGCATGCCCGTTTCCAGCTCTGTTTTGTACGTACACACCGTTTATAAATGAGAGCCCCGGTGCTGCTCACAAGATTTCTGACAAATAGTTTGTGTGTCTGCAGTTCGAGGCGACTGTGAGCCAGTGATCACTTTGCCTCGTTGTTGGTTGTGCACCCCTGTTAATAGTGAATTTCTTGAGTGTTGGCATTTACCTGTTTTTGTCGGTTGCCTGCCTAAGCGGCTTCCGTCAGTTAGAACCCTTGTAAATCACAGTGTGAGTGGCACTCTTTAGGTTGAGCATTGTCTGTTTGGTTACTTTGCATTCTTGTAAAAGATATAGGTGCTGACCTCCTTTTGTTCTTCAGTGTTTTTTGAGTACAGAGCTGTCTTTGGACAATACCTCCTTTTGTTTCCTTTTTTGTCAGTACCTATATAGCCTCCTTTTGTTGTGTTTTCTTGAGACAAATCATTTAATTAAACATTTGACTTTAACCTAAATTCATTTGTCCTTTACCACCTTCATTTCAATCCCAAATAACTTGTTACTGCCCTACCCTAACGAGCTGGGTTGTAACAGGTAGAAGTGAGGGTTGTGAATTGCAACAAACTGTCCACGGTGCATTCATGTGCTCCTCGGATGGAGTTGTGAAATCTTCTGATTTTGGTGTGTTCATGTGCTCTTAAGTCAGAATGTGGAATCAACATGGACGCTACGACATCCATGTAAGAGGATCCACGGTATATGTAGATAGAAATGTCTCATTCTGAGGTAATAAAAACATAATGGTTCATTATAGTTCTGGATCTTATATTGCATTTCTGTCAACAGATCCTCAGAAATATTAGACACTGGACCTTTAAGTTGAACATCCTCCTGTATTTGTTTCAGAACATGCTGTTGCCACCTCCTACAAATCTAATCTAAAACTTAAAAAAGTTTCTGTAAGACTTCTGTAGAATAATAGCCCCAGGCAGATAAATCTAGAATGAATTTCACACTTCAGCTTCCTCTGTATTTATACTTCAATCAAAGTGTTGAATAAGAAAACGTTACAAGTTAGTTAGACATGTGTTTACTTGTGGTATTGGTTCATGGGACCTTAAAGTCATTGAGTTGAGTGCCAGGTATGATATCCTTGGTAATACATACTGCTGAAATACTTTATTTGATCATCATTATCAGTGTTTGTCTATCCACCATTATCCATCTGGAGAGAAGACTTACAGGAGGACATACCTTCTGAGGACTGGAAAGCAGCATGAAGCACTAACTGTCAATATATATCTGAAATTGCTGCAATCTAACTGGCTGGTGAGGAAATACAACAGTAAAGCTAACACAACACTACAGGACTGCCTTGTCCTGTTTGGAGGGGGGCTAATATATTGAGCATACACTTAACACTTGACCCTAAATGAATCCTAGACCTAATTTTAATGTAACAATCTACGGGCCTTTAATGTTTTTCATACTGGACGAGGACACATTTGCTTCTATGTTGCTGGAAGTTAATTGAATATATTAATAAAGATACTGCTGGGGATAAAACTAACTTTGGATGATCTCCACTTGATGTGTCTGAGACAGATACAGTGAAACACATTAGTCCAGTATGAACAGGAGGAACGGTTACAGCAAGAAAAGGCTGGTCAGTGTTCATATGGACACTTGATTGTTGTTTAAAAAACTGAACTTTTCCTTTAAGCCACATCAGAGAACTTTGGACTGACAGCTGTGAGATGAAGCTTTACCTCGTCCAGAGGGATGTTGTTCGGCAGGAGAAGCACATTTAGGATTTTCGTGTCTGTTTCTGTGTTTGGTGGTCTGAGGAACAGCAGAACTTGGCCACAAACTGGTGTCGTCCACAACCTCTTAATGATATCCCAGACTAGGCCGAAGGCAGAGAGGTGAGGGACTTTGACAACCACATGAGTGTCTGTAATCTCCTGCGGGTCGAGGATGCTCATTCCATCATCAGTGATGTGGACGACAGACAGCAGACCATCAGGCAGCAGAGCTGTGAAAACACAGTGTTAAACTTTGGTTTTACTGATAACAACCTCAGTACAATGTTTGTTCTATTGTATTTCCAGGAAGACTGTTGCCCAGGTTGAGCAATTTATCGACACAACTTTTGGTGTTGGTGCCCTTGTTCCTGACAATAAATGGAAATGCAAAATAAGGAAAAAGAAATAAAACTAAAGGAAAAACTATGATCCCCAGATGATAACTGATGGTGACCTCGGGAAATTTCCTCTGGCAGCATCCCTTTTGATTTTATTCTAGCGCCCCCCTCAGGACAAACTCCCCCTGTTTAGCTGCACAGCTGTTCGGACTGTTAGAACAGGTAAACCATCAGGATGTTGTTTCATCGTCGCTCTGACAAAACTCTCCACTCACAAAGCACAATAATGTCCTCACCGGCCTTTGTTTCACAGTGTGGCAGGTGGAGCTGACAGACAGCGTTCTCAGGACACTTGATACTGAACAGCAGCCCTGCAGCCGTCTTGCCAGCTGATTGGAGGAGGCTCTCATCCCATTGGACAGTCCGGTACAGCAGCTCCGCCTCCTGAGCCACAACAAACACCAGTCCAGTCAAAGCACACTGGAACACACCTGGACCAGGACACCTGAACCTGCAGGACATACAACAAGCTCTCAGCCTGCAGGGACCATAGACAAAGAACTAATATTGTTAGAATGTAGTTTCTGTGTTCATGTCTTTCCTGTTAAAGTCTGTTTTTGGTTCTGTGTTTCTCTGTGTAGTCTTGTTTAGTTAGTTCTTAGTCCTGTGCTTTAGTTCATGTCTAAGTGTTTTCCTGATATGTGTACTTCTGTGTTTTATCATTATGGTCTGTGTCCTAGTCCTTTGTCTTATATTACTTTATGTTTTAGAGTAGTCTTGTCTCCTGTTTGCTCCTGTCCGTGCCCTGATTTTGGCTGACTTTCATGTTTTGGTGTTTTACTTTAGCAGATCTGTCCTTGTGTGTTCCTGTGAATTTTACTTCCTGTTTAATTTTGGTAACCTCTGTACCTGGTGTCCTTGTCTAGCTTTGTTTGATTACTGATGTATCTCAGCTGTGCTTCCCTCCCTGCTCGTTTACCAGTATCTGTATATATTGTCCTCAGTCGTCTTCAGTCTTTGTCACGTCCTTGCGTCTAGTGTTCTTGCCTGTTCCTTTGTTTCATAGATCTCTTCCTTGCATTTGGATTGTTTTCCCTGCCCTGTTCTGGATTTTACTCTGCCTGTTCGGAGATGCCTTTGTTTGGACCTTTTGCCTGCTGTGCTCATGAGTAAGCCTGTTTTTGCTGAATAAATATTTTGTTTGAACTGCATCCTCCTCTCGCCTTGCCATTGTCTGCATTTGGTTCCTCATCTCAGTCCGCACTCAGTGCACCACTGACAAATACAACCAGTTTACACATTTCAGCCAATCTAGAAAAGACCCAAACGAGGACATCTGGACTCTTTTAGAAGCTAATGATCCACATATATACATGTTTATAACAAGTAAATGGATCATAGCTTTTAATAAGGACAAATGTAATAATGTTTATTTGTAGAGCACTTTTCAAAAACAAGTGCTTTAACAAATGTAAAGACAATAATACCCAAAGACAATAATTCTGAAACAATACAAGATAAAAGCATGAAAACATTGAAAAGACTAAAATACACGTTTAAGATAAATAAATAAGTAAAATAGAATAAAATAAAAGGGATAAAATAAAGTCAAATAAGATCGGGAAAGCTCTCCTATAAAAGTATGTTTTAAGAAGGGACTTAAAAGAGTTCACTGACTCAGCCGACCTGATTTCCTCGGGCAGGCTGTTCCAGAGCCTCGGGGCCCTGACAGCAAACGCTCTGTCCCCTTTAGTTTTCAGTCGAGACTCTGGAACAGACAACAGACCTCTGCCCGAGGATCTCAAGGTACGTGCTGGTGCGTATGGGACTAAAAGGTCAGAAATATAACAAGGTGAGAGGCCATGAAGAGCTTTAAAAGTGATCAATAGAATTTTAAAGTCAATTCTAAAACATACTGGGAGCCAGTGTAATGAAGCTAAATAGGAGTAATGTGGTCATATTTCTTTGTTCTGGTTAAAAGCCTGGCAGCTGAGTTCTGGACAGTCTGGAGTCGATCAATAGATTTTTGGGTTAAACAGGTGAAAAGGCTGTTGCAATAATCAGGCGTGATGAGATGAAGGCGTGTAAAATGGTCTCGGTGTCCTTAAAAGTTAACATAGATCGAATTTTGCTATATTTCTAAGTTGATAAAAACATGATTGAACAAGCTTTGTGGTGTGCTGCTCGAAATTTAAATTACTATCAAACCAAACACCAAGGTTCTTTGCCACAGGCTTAATGTGATTTACTAGGGAACCAGCAGATGGCAGTATTTGATTTGCCATCTGCTGGGACCCGATGACCAGGATTTCTGTTTTGTCTGAGTTCAGCTGGAGGAAATTATTTGACATCCATTTTTTTACTTCACAAAGGCAGTTGTTAAGTGAACTCAGCATTCCAGGGTCTGTGGATCTGACGGGCAAGTATATTTGTGTCATCAGCATAAATATGAAAAGAAATGCCATGTTTATGGATAATATGTCCAAGGGGAAGCAGATACAAGGAAAACAAAATGGGTCCTAAGACCGACCCCTGAGGCACACCATATTAAACTGGACAGAACGAATAAACATAGTTGTTTACAGACACGCAAAACTTCCTATTTGACAGGTAGGATGAAAACCATTCTAGGAAGTACCAGAGATTATAACAGTTCATATATCATTTTGGTAAGTTTTATTATTATTCATATTAGTTACAGTGGGGACCAGTGGGGCTGAAAGACATCCAGCTTTTGTCCTGGGAAAGGAATTAAATAAAACTAGAGGAAGAAACTGAAATAAAAGTGCTGTGCTGCATTCTTTAAAAAGTTGGAGACCAAACTGAATTGTTGGACAAGATGTGAATGAAGCAGCAGCTGCAGGAGGAGGAAGTGTGTGAGTATTAAAATAAAGAGTAAGCAATGAAAGGGGTGGTGATGGTGCAATGGATAAGATGCCTGCCTTTGGTGTGAGAGACCAGAGGCATGTGACCTCTGACATAAATAGCAATTGTAAGTCGCTTTAGATAAAAGCGTCAGCTAAATGAATAAATGTAATGTAAACATGTTAAAGTGAAATACTGACCTTTGTATTCAGAGCCTCTCCAAACTGAAGCTGATGCTACTTCAACCTCTCTGGATCATCAGGACACAGCTGGTTCTCTCTGTCATCCTCAGACACATTGACCTTTGTGTTTGATGTTGACGGATCTGGTGGGAGATTAGAGCCATCGGATGGACAGAAGCAGATGTCAAACTCACTTTTGGACGTCCTGGTGACCCAACATTCAAAAACCTGTCACAGCAACCAGTTCACGGCTGGCCAGGGCCCTTTGGAGCAGGTCTTTACCCCATGTTTCCTGTTGTTATCTACTGGAAAACTCTCCAGCAATGTCACAATGTAGAAGACCAAGCACAGTCATGTTTAACAGTCCAAAGATACCAAGTTAAGCCCGAGTCCATACAATCAAATGTACACAAACATAACAAGGACAGAGATCCAAGACATTCCTGCAATGAGGCAACACAGCAACAAGACATCATCTTTCCCAACATGCAGAGCAGAACAAAGCCAAAGACCTGCTGGGGTTACTGAGATCTACCAGAGCCATGAAGCACACAGCAGCCAATCTGCAGTTTACATTTCTTTAAGATAATCCAGTGGACTGTTACTCACATCCTCCATGTCTGTCAGGTGTAGCCCTGATGTCTCTGCCATCCAGCCTGTAGGAGTAAACACAAATACAACAGTTGTCTCTTATGAAGACAGTCTGGATTTCCCAATCCATCAACAGGTACATTCACATGAAACAGGGACTAGTCTGCAGTGCTGGGTTTCAATAATGGCCAATCACATCAGCTTTCATCCTTTTTAAGAGCAGCAGAATGTAAACATTCATTCAAACATCCAATTTAAACATCCAAACAGCATGAAAGGACTCCAGACCGGCTTCTATGGAGAAACCTGTTCTGCACAGGAGGCAGAGTGAAGCTCAGATACAGTAGAGCCCTGTGTGTTACAATGCAGCACCAAATATTATCTATACTTTATTGATCAGGACAGGTGGAACAGGCACAGGCGACCCTCCGGTTCCCAAGCCAAGTCTAAGAGAATAAGCTAAAGCCTTATATACACACCACAGGTATCACAGGTCACATTTTCAATCCACATTTTCTCCCAAGGGACGATTATGTCTATTATAAGGTGAATTTATGATTCCGGAGATGCAAAAGTTCCTTTTTTCTATTGCTGCTTCTCTGTGAGGTCTGTGTGTGCGCTTCCACCAACTCTACCTACGACTGAGGGTCTGCAGCCCTGTTAGCAGCTCTGTGTACTCAGACACAGTGGTGCATTGAGCTCAATGCTAACATCAGCATGATAAAATGCTCACAATGACAATGCTAACATGCTTCAGTTTAGTGCATTAGCATGTTAACATTAGCTATTTGAAGCTCTCCACTCTGCCTCCCAGTAACATGGCCCAGTCAGAGCCTCTCCACACACAAGCTGCTGCTACTGCTTCAACCTCTCTGGATCATCAGGACACAGCAGATCCTCTCTCAACACCACCACCTTTCTGACCCTCACACTCTGACAGAGATCAGCAGCTGATGAGAGAAGAAGACAGACAGCAGGAGTCATAAATCAGAGTTTACAGAGACTCCCTTCATCAGCTGTCAGTCAGTGATGCAGCACATCCAGTATAAAGACCAGCAGGGACTTCAGTCCTGTTCAGACCAGAAGTGGAGCGGCTGTGTAGCGTAGCCAGCTTCCTTTCAGCTCTCATGTTAACGTATTGGAGTGAACACACTGAGACCTGCAGAGACTTTGGCCATCAGCTCTGTTTACTCTGCAGGTTTCACTCAAGTCCACAGTGGAAATAAAGTGCTGAGAGTCCCTGAACGCATCATGACTGCAGAGACAGAGAGATATTCACTGCTCACTGGAATGATGGATTTACTGCTGTTAAAAACCAGCCGCTCAGTCACATTTGAAGATTTCAGCTACTTTGGAAATATTACAGGACAAATCTGTAAATATGGAGACTGTTCTAAAAACATCTGGACCAAACTAAAGACACATGGACAGATATAGATATGATGTTAAAGGTCCTACAACAGCTAAACATCAGCTGTGCTTACTGGACTTCAGCAGAGGTTCTGCTCTGCAGAAAGACCACATGGTTACTAAATGTAATGACGGTTCTCTGAAATAAGAGCCAGTGATTTGCAGGCTTCAGTCAGACTGATCTCAGAGCTGTGACAAAGATGAACTGATCAGTAGTTTAGTGTTGAAATGAGAGAACAAACACTTTGAGATCAGATTTGATGGTCCGACAGTTTGATGAATGAGGACCACTGTCTCTATACATCTTGTGATGCTGTCAGCTGGAATCCAGCTTTATTTCCTGGAGACATGAACACAACAACAACAGTCGTCTTCACATCAACTCAAACACATGATCACTGCCTGTTCTCTCTCTCTCTGTCTGTCTTTCTGTCCAATCCTGAAGCCTGTCACCATTCTCCTCTCACAGCTTCACTGAGGAAAGCAGCCGCTGAGAAGGTTGGAGGTTTACAGGAAATACTGGATCTCTGCTTTGATACTAACTGTGTTTAGTACAATATTGCTGAAACCAGCATGGACTGACTCCAACCCTCTACTGACCTCAGAGTCTCCAGTCTGCAGTGTGGACTCTCCACAAGATCAGACAGCAGCTTCACTCCTGAATCCTGCAGGTAGTTGTTACTCAGGTCCAGCTCTCTCAGATGGGAGGGGTTGGACTTCAGAGCTGAGGCCAGAGAAGCACAGCTGATCTCTGACAACCTGCAGCGTCTCAATCTGAATAAAGAATAAATGATGGAGATAAAA